GGTAATGTCTTCTCCATTTCTACTTCTGTATTTTCATTCATCGTTATCATCAATACCATCATCGTTATCTTGTTTTACTCCTTCATTTTTTTACTTTCTGTTCTCTTTCTCCTTTGCCCCTTTCGTATTTTCCTTCCACTCCTAGTCTCATCCCCTTTTCTTCCTCATCTTCTACCTTCTCTCTTTTCTTTTTCTTTTTTTCTTCTCCTTCAACTATTCCCCCTCGTCATTTATTTCTCATTCCCGCTCTCTTTCTTCATTCTCCTATATTTTTCCTCTTCTTTCACCACCTCCTCTCCTTCTCTTACTCCTCCTGTAGCTTCTCTATTCACTTCTGTTTCCTTTCCTCTCTCTCCTTCTCTCCCACCTTCTCATTTATTATTCATGTACTTTTTTCCACCGTTATTGCTGTAGAGATTTCAATGCTCACCAGAGACCGAGAAATCTGGAATATTTATATTAATGTAGAGCGAAGAAAAGATATGAAGGTCATTAATTAATTTGGAGAAATGTCAGATTATAGTGATGATTATAATAAAAATGTTGGTGATAGTAATAGTTATATTATGAAAATAATGTTGGCAATAATAGTAATGATATTAATAATGATGATCTTAAGGATAATAGTAATAATGATAACGATAACAACAGCAGCAATACTGATAATGTTGATAATCACATTCATAATAATGATAAGGGTAATAAGAATTACATTCATAATAATAATGATAATAATAATAATAATAAAAATGACAACAATAACAAAAACATCAACATTATCAGTAATAATGATAATGATAATAACGATAATAATATGATGATAATTATAACAAAAATGTTAATGATAATAACACCTTATAATAACGATAATAACACTAATAATAATAATGATTACAAAAGTAATGACAATCCTAACAAAATCAATAACACAAAAAGAACTTTTACTCCTGCTAATGACAATCAGAATGGAAGTGATATTGACAACAATGACAAAAAATAATGGAAATAGCAATGACAGCAATAATGAGAGTGAAAATAATAAATCTAATACCACTGACACAAAAAAAAAAAAAAAAAAAAAAAAAAAAAGTTATAAATTAGTAACAAGAGGAAAGTAATGACTCAATATGCTTTGACAAGAGGAAATAAGGGAAATATAGGAAGAAACTGCGTCCCTTACATTAGGAATTTTTTCACCAGTAGGAAAAACAATCAGAATCAGAATAAGAATCAGAATCAGAATGATTTTAAAAAGAGAGAAACGTTAAGGAAGGAGGAATTCCCGTCCCAATTAATCCCTCTCTCTCTCTTTCTCCCTTTCTCTCTCCCTCTCTTTCTCTCCCTTTCTCTCCCTTTCTCTTCCTCTCCCTTTCTCTCTTTCTCTCCTTTTTCTCTCTCTCTTTCTCTCCCTTTCTCTTTCTCTCTTTCTCTCCCTTTTTCTCTCTTTCTCTTCATCTCCCTTTCTTTCTCTTTCTCTCTCTTTCTCTCCCTTTCTCTCTCTTTCTCTCCATTTCTCTCTCTCTCTTTCTTTCCCTTTCTCTCCTTCTCCCTTTCTCTATTTCTCTCCTTTTCTCCCTTTCTGTTCTCTCTCCCCCCTCTCTTAGGTTATTACGATTCAGGATATCTGTTTATTATATGGCTCTAAAATCAGTCTTATTTAACATTACACTAGCATTCATTCACTTCATAATTTTATGTATAACCAGAAACAAACCTGTCACCGAAATAATTCATAACAATCATCATTAGCGCAAAGTCTTACCATTATCATTTCCAAATAACAAATTTCATTCATAGAAAGCGTACTATAACATGTTCAGAACATGTAACCAAGGCACAAAGGGGGAAGATACCCAAGGCAGGAGAGGTAGTTCCCCGCGACTATGGAAGGAAGGAGGAATTCCCGCCCCGCCCCCTCCTACCCGCCCGCGCCTGGAGGAGTATATAAGGCGGCCCAGAAGCGGGAAAGGCACATTGTCCTTCCTCAGAGACGCCGTAAGCACTCTCTCTCGCCCCCAAGATGAAGCTGGTGAGTCGAGGATATTCCTTGTGTATCTAGAAGTCATTACTTTTATGCTCCTTTTGTCGCAGGATTATTACTGAATGTATGTACATATTTTCAATGAATAGAAAAAATGCATTTTATGTAACAAATTTCGATATTATTTAAAACGTGTGAACATTTTTACAGATTTCAATGTTGATGGCCCTGGTTGTGGCCCTCTCTGGCCTCCTTGGTTCAGCTCGTGCCATGCCTGACCCCTACCCAGTGGCTGACCCCGTGGCCGACCCCTGGTTCTTTAGACGCAGGCACTACTACCCACACTACCACCACTACCCCCACCATCACCACTACCACCATTGGTGAAAACGAGGATTCTCTCCTCTCTAAAGGATCCCAAAAATATAACGAATCATATTTCCTTCGCGCGAATTTGTATACCAATTCAGAATTTGTATTTTCGGTCATCTTCGTACGAAAATAAAACCCTAAAAGAGATGGTGTTTTCGACATTTCGCCTTAGTGTCTTCAAAGCATTAACTTGAATTGTAATATATTTATTTCTAATGTTGTGAAAATGTTAACACCAGAGAATATTAAGTGGCTATTGATAGCATAAATATTTATGTATTAATATGCAAATCAGTGAAGTCATAATATAAGAAGCGAAGCCCTCATGATAAGTTATTCATGGATAACATCTAAATTGGTAAAAATTACAATAAATTAGCTTTTCTCCAAATATTTCATAATGCTTCTTCCCTCCCCCCCCCTCACTCCCCATCCTATCCAGATCCTCCTGCTCCATCTCCTTCGACTCTCCCCCCTCTCCTCCTCCTATTTCTCCTTCGTTCTCTTCTATTTCCTCCTCTTCCTTCTATGACATAGTAATTTATCATTTTATCATTCTCTCGTCCCCCCCCCCCCCACTTCAGAAGCTATTCCAGTGGAACGATTTATAGCAAGAATTGTGAAATAAAAAACATTTTAAACATTAACGTATAAGAGGAAATAGAAGAAAGCTTGGAAAGAGAGGGAGACCGTCACAGAAGAGAGATTACAAAATAAAGAAGATTGGTAAAATTATTGATGATAATGTAATAACAATAACCGTATTTACGTAATTGGTGATGATAATCATAATTTTTAAAAATGCATATATATTGTATTAGGAACAATAGCGGTTACACTAACGATAATAACACGCCAGTGTTAGAGAGCACGGATGCGATATAGAAAGACAAGGAAAAATGGAGAATTATCTGAAAAAAATAACCCTATAGCTGAGTGACCTTGAACTTGATCTCTGGTGCAGAGTGGAGGTCACTTTCATTCGTGGGAGAGTTCTTTCTCCCTCCCCCTCTTGTCTGTTTCTGTCTCCTCATTATTAATACCATCGTTAAAGTTATGATTATCACTATCCTTATTATCATTTTACATCATGTATATTGTTACCCCTCGTCACTCTTCGGAAAACAAAAACAAAATCAGTTTATGGCTACAATTCGGAGTGTGTGTGTGGGGGGGGGGATTCCCCGTATCTTTGGGTGGATTTTTTCTTTCTTTCTTTACCGCAAACCCCTACTACTTCCCTTTTCTGCCAAGAATTATAAAGAGAACAGTACTGGAATATGTTGTTGGGATTGCAATATGTAAGCAAAGGTAAGTTTGATCCATGTTGAATAAAAGGTACGAATGAAAAGGAACGGTTTGGCAATGCAAGGTATTTGAATGAAACATGAAAATGAAATATAACAAGGAAATATATTCCCTTTTTATCCAGAGAGCAAAAGAGAGAGAAGGCGGGAGGGAAAGATTGCAAGAAAATAGACATACTGTACATAAACAAACAAACAGTGAGAGAGGAGCGAAGAAAAGGAGCTAAAGATAATATGAGAGGAGGAGGCGAAAGAGAAATATAGATAGATAAATAAATACAAAGATGGAGAGGGAGGTATCATAGCATTAATATGATTTAATAGCATTCTAAAAATGGAATATGAACAAGCAATCATTAGATAGAAAAAATGAGGCATAATCTCTGCATTATATAATTGGCATCAGTCGGACTCCTGCCTGGCATACCGTCATATTCCGAATAGCAGGGCAGTGATAGAACTAACGTTTCCAGCACCGCAGTATAAAAGAAGTGAATATTATATATATATATATATATATAATATATAATATATATATATATATATATATATATATATATAGCAAAAACAACAAATCGTCCTGTAACAAAACATGAACCGGCTTTAATGACCTTGACCTTGTTCCGTTGGATAGGGACGTGGCCATACACAGAAACAAACAATATCCATCTGATAGGTAGGTAGATATATACATATCAGAGAGATATGCTTATATATTTGTATATACATATCCATATATGTGAATATTCATTGTGTTAGTCTTCTCGAAATTTTAAAAAGCCGGTCATAAATGTGTAGAATATGGACTTTATCTATTTATCCATCTATTCGTCAATCTCTCTCCCCCTCTCTTTCTATACCCTTCTCTCTCTTGCTCTTGGTTCATTACGGTTCAGAATATTTTTACTCTGTGGATCAGTTCTATAATCAATCGTGTTTTAATTCAAACTAGTTTTATTCGCTTCACACCAGTTTAGGTATAACCAGAGAGAAGCCTGTCACCATCGGAATAATTCACAACAATTATCATTAGCGCAAAGTCTTACCATTATCATTTCTAAAAAACTAAAATTTCACTCTAAGTAAAGCGTACTATAACATGTTCAGAACATGTAACCAAGGCACAAAGGGGGAAGATACCCAAGGCAGGAGAGGTAGTTCCCCGCGACTCTGGAAGGAAGGAGGAATTCCCGCCCCGCCCCTCCTTCCCGCCCCGCCCCCTCCTACCCGCCCGCGCCTGGAGGAGTATATAAAGCGGCCCAGAAGCGGGAAAGGCACATTGTCCTCTCTCTCAGTGTATCTAAGTCATTACTTTTATGCTCCTTTTGTCGCAGGATTATTACTGAATGTATGTACATATTTTCAATGAATAGAAAAAATGCATTTTATGTAACAAATTTCGACATTATTTAAAACGTGTGAACATTTTTACAGATTTCAATGCTGATGGCCCTGGTTGTGGCCCTCTCTGGCCTCCTTGGTTCAGCTCGTGCCATGCCTGACCCCTACCCAGTGGCTGACCCCGTGGCTGACCCTGACCCCGTGGCTGACCCCTGGTTCTTTAGACGCAGGCACTACTACCCACACTACCACCACTACCCCCACCATCACCACTACCACCACTGGTGAAAACGAGGATTCTTTTTACGCTCTAAATAAATTATTCCAAAACTGTAACAAAACATATTTTCTTGGATGAATTTGTATACTAATTCAAAGTTTATATTTTTTCGGTGTTGTGAAAATAAAATCCTAAAGGAATTGGTGTTTCGACCATTCACCTTGTGTCATGAAAGCATTAACTTGAATTGTAATATTTTATTTCCGATATTGCGAAAATGGGAATTGCTAGCGTAGATATCCAAGTATTCATATGTAATCAGTGAAGTCATAAGATAAGAATCGAAGCCATCATGAGAAGTTATTCATGGATAACATTTATATTAGTAAAAATTACAATGAATTAGCTCTTCTCCCAAATATTTCAGAATACTTCTTCCCTTTTCCCAACTCCCCCCTCCTCCCCATCCTATCCAGATCCTCCTGCTCTATCTCCTTCGACTCTCCTCCTCCTCTCTTCTTTTTCTTCTTACTATTTCTTCGTTTTTCTATTTCCTCCTCTTCCTTCTATAGTATAGTTAATTATCATCCTATCATTCTCACGTTTTTTGTTTGTTTTTTTTCGTCCCCACTTCAGAAGCTATTCCAGTGGAACAATAAATAGCAAGAATTATGTAATGAAGACATTACTAACAACAAAAGGGATAAAGAGGAAATGGGATTAAGATATCGGAAAGAGGGGGAGACTGTCCCAGTAGACAGATAATTACGAAATACAGGACTGGTAAAAATATTGATGATAATGGTAATACCAATGACAGTATTAACGTCATTGGTGATGAGAATCATAATTAAAGCATGTATATATATATTAGGAACAATATCGGTAAAATCAATGATAATAACACTTATACCAGAGTTAGAGACCACGGATGCGACATAGAAAGACAAGGAATAATGGAGAATTATCGGAAAAAAGACCCTATAACTGAGTGACCTTGAACTTGACCTCTGGTGCAGAGTGGAGGTCACTTTCATTCGTGGGCGAGTGCTTACTTCCCCCCCCCCTCATATCTCTTTCTCTTTATTAACACATTTTAAGGCTACAGTTCCGAGGGATTTAGGGGGGAGGGGGTAATTATCCGTATCTTTGGGTGGATTTTTTCTTTATTTGTTTACGGCAAAACATATAATACTACTTCCTTTTTGTGCTAAAACTTTGAAAGAGGACTATGTTCGAATATACTGTTAGGAATGCAATATGAAAGCAAAGATAAATTTGGTACATGTTGAATAAAAGGTATGATCAATAGATAGATATACAATGAGAGAGGAGAGAGAGAAGGAAGGAGCAGAAGATAAAATATGAGAAGACAAGGAAGCGAGAGAAATAAATAAATATAGATGAATAAATACAAAGATAGAGATGGGGGGTAGTATAGAATTATTATTATTCAATGGCATTCTAAAAATGCAATATGAACAGTCATTAAATAGAAAAAAAAACTTTAACAAGGCATAATCACTGCTGGGGGGGGGGGGGGTAGAACAGGGGCGGGTCCAGAGAATTTTCTGATGGGGGTCACAGGGAGTAACGACAATATATCTGGAGAGGCACCCAAAAGTAGCAAAAAATAAGGCTGCTCACTTTAATATTCATGTACAACTACACATTGTCTATGTTTTCATCTTACTTTTCTTGGTCACAAGGTTTCAGCTTTGCTCTAGTCTTGACGTGCAGCGTCAGTAAAGAACGTTACGCAACGATTGACATTACGACAAGTCAATCAGATTGCAGGGGGAGGGCGCCATCCCGTGCCACCATGGAAGCACCGCCCCTGGATAGAACTAGCCTTTCCAGCACAACAGTATAAAAAGAGGGCGAGTGTAAAGAAGAAAGACGAGATAGAGAAAAAAAAGGAATAAGAATAAGCAGTAGTAGTATTAGTAGAAGAAGCAGAAGTAGTAGTGGTAGAAGAAGGGCAAGAAGAAATCGCCCTGTCACAAAACACGAACCGGCTTGATTGACCTTGACCTCGTTTGGATATGGACTTGGCTATACACAGAAATAAATACATTCCCATCAGATGGGTAGGTAGATATATATAAGAGAGATATGATTATATATTTGTATATACATATCCATATATGTGAATATTCATTGTGTTGGGCCTCTCGTGATTTTAATAAGCCGGTCATAAATCTGTAGAATCTGGACAAGGGGTCAGCCTCGGGGTCAGCTTCAATGTCAGGATATCCCCTGGGGTTAGGGTAAGGGTC